CTTTAAGATATTCGTTGGAAAGCCTGTTTCTTTAGCTAGCTTCCCCTATAACTTTCATTGACATAGTTGCTCTAGTTTACGAGTTATTAAACATTATATGGGAGAGTCCACAGCTCGTCGTATCCGAGTAAACTCAACTATTATAAATAATTGCTAATATCTAATAAACCGCATCAGATACACGTACAAAAATTATTGTAGAATGTAGTAAAAGGTCTGTACTACATTCTACACGCTTAAAAGTACACAATTAATCATGCTTGTTCATGAAACTAACCGAAAATGTGTTACGCTTGAATACGACGGTATAATACTCTCCCAAATAACGTTTAATAACTCTTAAACTATACTGAATATGTTAATAAAAATTATATGAGAATATAGCCAAAGGAGTCACCTTTCAAACGCGTATAGTTAGTTGCATGCGAATTTAGTAAAAAGCTATGAAATTATTGATAAACCGTAAACGTATATAAACGTAAAAAACATCGTTCCTGACAACCTCTCCTAAAATTATTAATAACTAATTATTGAAAGGGTCTATTGCACTAAAAACTATTTGTGAAAATAGCTAAAGGTCCACGCTACATTCTTCAATTCTAAAAGTTCACAAAACCAGCTTAATTATTGAGTTATTAATGAAAATGGTAGAAAACTATTACGCTGGAATATGACGGGTGTAATACTCTCCCAAAGAATGTTTAATAACTCTTAAACTAAACCGAATATGTTAATAAAAATTATATGAGAATATAGCCAAAGGAGTCACCTTTCAAACGCGTATAGTTAGTTGCATGGGAATTTACTAAAACGCTATGAAATTATTGATAAACCGTAAAGGTACTTGACGGTATGTGGTATCGTTCCCGACATCATCTACTAAAATTATTAATAACTAATTACTGAAAGGGTTTAGGGTACTAAAAACTATATGTGAAAATAGCTAAAGGTCCACTCTTCATTCTTCAATTCTAAAAGTTCACAAAATCGTCGTAATTATTGAGTTATTAATGATTTTTCATCGGACCACGTGGCGGTGGCTCTGGGGGGTGGAGCATGGCGGCCCGCCAGCCAATAGGAAGCGTCTTCTCTCTGTCCTTGTCGCACACTAGTGCTTTCCTTGTCTAATACCTCTGTTTATATGCTGTGTTCCTATTAAAAAATCGTAGTTCGCGTCACCAGACGCGAGATGGCGATAGTTTCGATTTGAACTTTTTTTCTGTCTTTGTCTAACCATATATCTTTCCTTGTCTAACACATTTATTAAATGCTATCCTTATCTACCCCTATTTCTTTCCTTGTCTAACTCATTTCAGTAGTGTTATCCCTATCATCTCTATTATATTTTATTGAAACCTATAAGAAATTTTTAATTGCTTTAACATCACTAATAATGTAGATAGTAAAAGAAAGCTTCTGGTTTATTTCCAAGTGCTTTAATTGCAGAATAATGATTGTTTCCTGTTGAATAACGATTCAGGTCGTAGTTTATAATTATTGGACCTATTAAATAAATTTATTGCATGAATCAACTTAACGAAACAGCTTAATTTACTAATTTCGCATTGAATTAACAATTGCATGCTGTAGATTAGTTAAAAATTGTTTGCAACTTTCATTAAACGTTGAAAAATTATGCAAATTAGGAATGAAACTCTCAGGCCACCACAGAACTCAGGAAAAGGATTTGAATATCAGGAAATATGGAAAAATGCAATTATTTATCAAAAAATCAATTATTTATTGTTAGATATGTTTACAATATATATTTTACAAAAGGTTACAATATACCAGTGTTATTTTATAGCATTTTACACTCTGTTCATTCATCCTTTACTCGCCACATTCACTTCCCTTTGCAAAACACTCGTTCCATAAAAAATATCCTATTACAAAATTGAACAAACAATGTCCGGATAGCGTTAGGAACGCGTAAAAATCTCGGAAAACTTACACGGAAACAGTTTACCGACTCCAAAAAAAATTTCGCTCCTCTAAAAAATGATCGATTTACACTACTTGCTGCGATGGCGAAAATTTTCTAAAATTTCTCGATCCTGATTACTATCCACTACAATCATTTTTCAGGCGCTGGAATTTTTTCCATTCACACCAAGTAGTTTTAGTCAACTATTTCTCAAACGTGTCAATATTTTCCTCCTAAATCCGTGTAAATCCGAAAAATTTAACCAGAAAATTTCAAAAATGGCGTCCAGAATATAAATCAAATAACATTATTTTAGATGTTGCATTAAAAAAGAAACCAAAATCGGAAATACTAAGAAATAGGTTGCAGTGTCATTTTCCGAGGTTATAGATCCACTTTTTACTGAACGTTTCATTTAAATTTCGCATCCCGCTAGCCAAGGTAAAATTACGCATTGGTAATTCGGCCCAATTAACCGCGTCTCCGCGTTGATTTTAATTAAGAGCAAGACCTGGTTGCATTAAGAGTATTATAGCTGGTACTTGGCAGTCCTCATTCGATGACCGAACGGAGAAGAAGCTGATGACCGCTTGGAGTCTGGTTTGAAATAGCGGTAACGCGTTTGAATGCGCGCAGACTTCCTGTTGACCGTCCTGCCGGAGAGAAGGTTGGTGGAAAGTCAAAGGTAATTGGAGGGTTTAATTGCTTCCTAGAGACGATTAACGCTTAATTGCTTCGTAGAGACGATTAGGGATGGAGAAAAGTTGTTTCGCTTGGAAGAGGAAACGGGAAGGAGGCATAAGTTATTCTTGTGCAACTTTGCTACTCTCGTTTGAATAACATGGGGTAATCCCGGGAGTGACGGACCAGGCAAGTATTTCCTACGTTATCCGGCAGATATGGAAGGAAAAACACCGAGAGCCACGCTCGATCGCTTTCCGTAAAACAAGAGACGCGCTCCACATATGGCGGATAATGTAGGAAATACTTGCCTGGTCCGTCTCTCCCCCGAGTTACCCTGTAATTACAATTTGGACAGTTTTTGTCCTTTAACGTGTTAATTAAAAAATTACGGTAGAAATGGAGGTTTGTGGAAAAATTGGGAAGCAATTGTTAAAATGAAAGTTGTCGTTTATTTTGCGAGGAACAAACGCGATCTGGTGAAAGGATATTAAATGAAATTTGGAAGAAAACGGTAAAAATGAGAGAAAATTGATAATTGACTTTTTAACCCTGCTGCGTTCTTCGTTTTGACTGTACACTTGAGACTGTTGGGTGAAAAAGGACCTAAGAGCTTGTGTGTAATAATTTTTCTTTCCAACGCGACATACGAACCTAGACGATAAACGTTTAAAATAATGCCAAGGAAGGTAAACTTGATAACAGGAAAAGTGACTGAAAATATAAAAAGGCGATGGGTCAAAAAAGACCCGAAGACCGCTTTAGGGTTAATACGTTAAACGCTACGCCGATTTTTGGTTCACGCTACACCGCCTGGCGCGTCGGTCCTTGCGTTCTGATTGTGAGACAAAACATTTTGTTTAGGCGACATCGATTTTTGTCCAATCAAAGCTTTCAGAACAGGAATATAACATTTTAGCAAAAGTTAGAAAGTAGTTTTTTTAAGGATTTTTAGGTCGTCTCCTGTTTATAGTTCGGCCGTCGCGCATAGCCCACTTGACGGTCGAGTGTGGCGTGAACGGAGAGGCGAGCAAAACAGGCTGGGCGTTTAACGTGTTAAGGAACAAACGTGATCTCGAAACGATATTCAATACGAAAGTCTATTTAAATTCTGCGAAATTCCGTGAAATTAATAATTTTTGTTGAACAAACGCAAGCTCGAAGCAGTACAGTAAATTCTCTACAAGTGTCAGTCAGTTTGGATTCTACAATTGTCAGTATAGATGGTCCTACGCCTAGGCTGCGTCATTGCTGCTCCCATGTTATCTCGCTCGCTGTCAGTCAACAGCTCGAGATTTCACGGCTGGACAATTCATAATAGAAAAATATAATTTCTTTAATTTTACTTT